GACAAGCATCCACTTGCTTCTGTCAAAGAAAGGAGTTTTTACATGTTTATATTGGATCTAGGTAGCCTGGTTTTTATAGCTATATAAAGGGAAACTTAAATCACTTGAGGTAATGTTTTCAGCAGGCAGTAGATAATGCCTAAAGACAGATCATTGGTATTTTGAGAAATCAAAGGTGTTTTGATACCGGCACTGTTTAGATAGCATGTACATAATTTTTTCATAGCTTATACTACTTTTACTAAAACTATTAGGAAACCAGTAGGCATTGGTCTCGCAGTGAAGACCAACACTAACAAAGATATATAAGTATAGAATAAGAAGTGATTTTTTTCCCATACCTGCTGACCTTGAAACAGTGTTTTAAGCGCAATCAGCATGAGAACAGTAACTCACATATGTGCACCATGCTACTTATTCACTTATTTCCGTTTCTGTTGCAAAAATATTGAAACTCATTGGAGAGCTCTGTGTTCCTTTAGGATCACTGGCTTTATGCTCCCTCCCCATCTTTCCATTTGGGTGATTTGATTTGCTCAGATAACCTAATGCCTTTTTTGCAGATGTAGGCAAACAGATCTTCCACAAATCTGTCTGAAATTGTGCCAAACTTCTAGCATTGCCAATGCCCAGAGCAATGTCCTGTACAACACAAGGAAAAACGTGAAATACATGTTAATCTTTAGCCTTGTAACTCAAATACCTTCATTGATAAAGGCTATTACAGTGATTTGCCAGAGAGAAGTGAGAGTTGTCTGAGCATGTGGTTTTGTTCAGGCTGTTTTTATTTGCTTTTCTTTAGAAATACAACAGACCATGTTGAGCAAGACATTTGCATCTAATCTGCCCAGAGGCACTATTAAGACATGTTCTAAACCCAAGAAATACAGTATGGTCTCTCGTAGCAGCGTTGACAGGAAGGTGACAAGACTAGTCACACAAAATGACCTACCTTTTTTAAAGTAAGATTTTTTTTTCCCCCAATCTATTACCACTAGTATTAGGTATACAAACAAATGTATTGTCTTTAACAACCCTGTAAATCTATATCTTGTAAATCTTCATTTTTGTTCTGGTAAACTAAGATAAGCTGTAAAAGTGCTAAAAGGGAGGCAAATGCTGGGACATTCTTAAGAATTGTATTTGTTTCTTCTGCTGCACCTCCTAGAAAAATTTCTACTGTCAAATTACCAATGAAAGCAAACCAGGCACTGGATGGATCTAGTGCTAATTAAGATGACCAGAGCAGGGCTGGGAGCTGATACAAGTCTCCACTGTCTCATTTAAGCACATTCATAAGGAGACAGATTTAACTTTAGACTGGCTCATCTACTCAGCATGCTGTCTGCTCATCCTAGCCAGGTGTAAGAGGTCAACTGTCACAGGCTAGGTCAATGAAAATAGCAACCTATGCAAAAAGCAATCTTGGTATAGTTTGCAGATGACACCAAGTTGGGCGGGAGTGTTGATCTGCTTGAGGGTAGGAAAGCTCTACAGAGGGATCTGGACTGGACAGGCTGGATCAATGGGCTGAGGCCAATTGTATGAGGTTCAACAAGGCTAAGGGCCAGGTCCTGCACTTGGGTCACAACAACCCCATGCCATGCTACAGGCTTGGGGAAAAGTGGCTGGAAAACTGTGTGGTGGAAACGGACCTGGGGGTCCTGGTCAACAGCCGGATGAATGTGAGCCAGCAGTGTGCCCAGGTGGCCAAGAAGGGCCAAGCATTCTGGCTTGTATCAGAACCAGTGTGACCAGCAGGAGCAGGGAAGTGATTGTCCCCCTGTACTCAGCACTGGTGAGGCCACACCTCGAGTACTGTGTTCAGTTTTGGGTCCCTCACTACAAGAAAGACATTGAGGTGCTGGATTGTGTCCAAAGAAGGGCAATGAAGCTGGTGAAGGGTCCAGAGCACAAGTTGTATGAGGAGCAGCTGAGGGAACTGTGGTTGTTTAACCTGGAGAAAAGGAGGCTAAGGGGAGACCTTATTGCTCTCTACAACTATCTGAAAGGAGTGTGTAGTGAGGTAGCAGCGAGGTGGCTCTAGGTCTCTTTTCCCAAGTAACAAGTGATAGAACAAGAGGAAACGGCCTCAAGTTGTGCCATGGGAGGTTTAGATTGGATATTGGGAAAAATTTCTTCACCGAAAGGGTTGTCAAGCATTGGAGCAGGCTGCCCAGGGAAGTGGTTGAGTCACCATCCCTAGAGGTATTTAAAAGATGTGTAGATGCTTAGGGCCATGGTTTAGTGGTGGACTTGGCAGTGTTAGGTTTATGGTTGGACTCAATCTAAAAGGTCTTTTCCAATCTAAATGATTCTATGATTCTGTTATTTTTTTTAAGTCTGCATTCTGCTCTTTCTCCTTGTTGTGGTTTAGCCCCAGCCAGCAACTCAGCACCATGCAGCTGCTCGCTCACTCCCCCTACCCCGATGGGATGGGGGAGAGAATCAGAGGAGTAAGAGTGAGAAACACTCCTGGGTTGAGATAAGAACAGTTTACTAATGGAAATGAAATAAAGTAAAATAGTAGGAGTAATAATAACAATATAATAGTAATAATAATATACAAAGCAAGTGATGCACAATGCAATTGCTCACCACCCACCGACCGATACCCAGACAGTTCCCAAGCAGCGGTCGCTGCTCCCCGGCCAACCCACCCCGGTTTATATACTGAGCATGATGTCATATGGTATGGAACAGCCCTTTGGCCAGTTTGGATCAACTATTCTGGCTGTGCCCCGCTCCCAGCTTCTTGTGTACCTGGCAGAGCATGGGAAGCTGAAAAGTCCTTGACTAGCATAAGCAGTACTTTGCAACAACTGAAACATCAGTGTGTTATCAACATTCTTCTCATCCTAAATGCAAACCACAGCACTGTGCCTGCTACTAGGAAGAAAATTAACTCTATTCCAGCCGAAACCAGGACACTCCTTAATAATTATTCCACTATTCTAATTCCTCCATCTAACTGTTAGAAGAATTCAGTCCCTAATTTCCATTTCAATGCAGCCAAGAGTAGATTTGTCTACGGTACTTTAAGATAAAAGGAATATACATGTTTTATTACTTTGTTCTTGACATGTACGGTTTGTTTATATAGTGTAAGCACGAAAGCAAGTAGCTTTGCATGCTCATTCCTACAAGTCACTTGAATACATTAAAGTATTTTTTCCAAAGAAGTCTGTTATGTCTAACCACAAAACCATCAAGCACAGAAGCAGCTCTGTTCCATACCTGCTGTACCTACGGCACATCACAGACAAACAGCAGTGTGGGAGTCCCCAAATGGCAGTACCTTCATCATGAAATAATAGCAGAAAAACTGCATAGCTCAAGGATGTAAAAATGGAAGCAGATCTTTTGCACAGGTCCCACACCTGGAAATGGAGCCACCTCCTATGACAGAAACCATCCTTAGGCTGCTGAGGAAATTGTCTGAAATCGAGAAAATGCCTTTCTCCAGGGTCAGTAGTCAGGACCCTTTCCTAAAAGCTAGTTTAGTTTCCTCAGTGCTGTGAAGTATGAGAAATCCTTTCGTATCATGAATCATCAGTTTCATTCTCTCCTTTTTCAGAGCAAGTCTTTTGGGGGGGGGGGGTGTTTGGTTAGAAATACATATATAGTTTTAGTTTCAGGGGGTTTGTTGGATTTTTTTTTTTTTAAGATAAGAGGAACACAGCAGCATCTTGCAGTGACAGACCTTTACAGCCTCGGATACTGCAAAACCTCTTGCTGCAACATATTCACACAAAATCTGTCAACTTTGAACATCCTGAGGACCAAAACGTAAGAGGGAAAGAAACGCAAGGGGCTTGGGAGTGCCAGGAGCTTCTCCCTGGCCAGACCACAACCAAGCCCCAGCAGGGGAATGCAGAGACCAGGGCTGGACCTTCCAGGGTGCCAATTTGGTTCTTCATGAGGCAGATCTGGTAATGGTGACTGTGGACCAGGCTGGTGTGGAAATATCTGGCGTTCAAAGGCGCACACAACCCTTGACAGCTCTTGCCCTGTGGAGAAGCTCAGCGTCACTCTGCCTTTCTCCTCAGCTTGGCTGCATTTGCTCAGTGCTGAAATTAATTCATCAAGCACAGCAGGGCGTTGTTGGAAGGAGCAGAGGAGGAACCTGGCTGACCTCTCAGGCTTGTGGCAATGAGTTGTGCAGGCACTAGCATGCAGGAAGCCACTGCCCAGAAATGGAGTCTGGGAAGAAGTATTCTGGAGAGGCCACCACATCCGACTGAAGGAAGTGTTGATCATGGCTTAGCTCCCAACTCAATTACAAGCAGACTAACTTGCTAAGCCTGCTATAGCTTAGCAGCTTCATTGACTCAGACCTCAAAACACAATGTCTCTGTAACATAGCCCTCCTCATCCTGCCTCCTCCTCTTCCTCCCTCCCTACATGGCCTGAACTTCATTATTGGAGGTCTGGGCTCTCCTGCAGGCTTTTTTTTTAGGAACTCAGTGCCTGGTTTAGAGAGATCTCAGTTGGCTCACCCCAAAGGTCTCCTTCTTTAAGAGTAAAACAGAGATATTCAGCTGATGCGCTGTCACTAGGCTGGTTTGTGAAACTTACCAAAGGAATCACCAGCTCCTCTCTACACAAAAAATTATTTCAGTTGAGGAAACAAAACAAAAACAAATAAAAAAGCACCTTTAGTAGAGTGAAAATGACATACATCAGATGGGTTTGCTGTGATACTTGTTCTTTTTCATTTGTAAAACCTTAATTTCCCTTCCTAAAGAGTTCTGGTTTGGGCAATTTCCAGTAATGAGGCCTCTATTGTTATTTAGACCACAGTCTGCCCTAAATTATTTTTTAATAAGGTTTGTTTTTTTTCGGTAGACATGATGTTGCATATTTTGAAAATACTGGAGCATGACATGCTTTTAGCTAGCTTGTTATGTTTGGTTGTTTTTTTTTTTTAAATTGTATTCTCTATGTGAGCCATGAGATAATGTCTTTGTCACATATCCTTTTTATATTTTTCAGGAGCACCTGAAAGCTTTTGACCAGGAAGTCAATGCATTTGTGGACTATATGTTTGGACCTCGAGGTAAGTTGCTCCACCTATAGCTCTTTTAGGAAATAATACCTATCCAGATTACTACTCAAAAATATTCTAATAAATAGAAGCAGTCAAAATTTTCTATTTGAATAATTTCTTATTGAAAAATGTGGACTAGGCAGAATCACAGTATTTGCAGAACAGACCATTATTGTAGGAAATTTATCAATGCACTGCATTTATAGAAAGCCAATAGATTTTTGTTTGGACTGTTTGACATAATATTATCTGTAATATAAATTAAAACCAATCACAGATTATACTGAAGGTGAAACAAGAAATGCAACTGAAAGGTTTTTTTGAAACTTAAAAAAAAATCACTAGATTTAGGAGTCCTTTGTTTCTGAGAACATCAAAGGATTTCAGTTTTACATCCTAATGTAGATTAAAGAAACCTGAAAGCCTGCATTTTTCTGAAAGTGGAAGATCTGTTTTGGGACAGATTCTCATTCATAATCCAGTTATTGTTTGGTCCAGCTACCTATCAAATAGCCTAATTCAGAAGGATGCTCAGAGCAAAAGCAAGAAATGGCTTTTAGCACCTCACATGATCACATCCAAAATTTCAGTAAACCAATAGATCGGGTGGGAGAACGGATGCATCTTTCTACTTCCTAGTCTTGCTTTCTAAAACAGTTTGGACAAGAATAACTTGAATAACTGTAGCTTGGAGGTGCCTCATGCTTTGCTAGGACTGAAACAAGTAATAGTAAAAAAAAAAAAAACAAACCCAAAACCAAAAAAAACCCCAACCCAACCAAAACTGAAGTAGGACTGCAGAAAATAAGAGAAAGGCTATGTCAAGGTGAGGACAGAGCATCCAAGTGAGGGCTAAGACAGCCAAGCAGCTAGAGGAAAGAGGTAAGACAGGCGCTTAGACAGCAGACAGTCTTCAGAGAAGGTCCCTGTAAAGCCGTCTTGCTGCCGATAGGGCTGGGCTTAAACATTTAGCTTCAGGAACAGCCTTGCAAACTTTTCGCTGGGGTTAAATCCAGAACTGCTGCCTGTGTGGATGGACTTATGCTTATGTATTCTCATTTTGTTGCAATAATGTCCTCCAGCTCCCACAAACAGTTCTTGCTTAATCAGAAGGACAAGGGAAAGAAAGCTGTAGCATTCTTAAAACCAAGAAATTCTCATTTTTCTTAGCTGCCTGGATGGCTACAAAATCTTTTCCATCATCTCTGCGGTAGATGCGAAGCTTGAAAGAAAGATTTCTGGTGAAGAAACACTGAACAGCTTGGAAACTGCAGCAGAAGTGATTAAAACAGAATAAGTTTTACTAATGGCTTCTACAATAGTGCATTTTAATATTTACAAAGCAATGTGATCACAAGCATAAAAGTACTACTGTTTTTTTTTTTTTTTTTCAAATGGACACGATGTTCTCCTTCATTCCTCTTCCCTCAGTGGTCTAGAACAAATTGTTTGAAGGAATGAACTGTGGCTAATCCAATGCAGAATACCACACAGATCCCTTTGGGCTTTTAGAAAGCACTTTAGTTAAACAAGTATTATTTGTATTACTTGCCAAGTACACCACCATCCCTCTCCAGCCATCAATGCTGAAGACAGCATTTGTCCATCCATGCCTCCTCACTATGGTCTTTAATTTAACTGGTGGTATAATGACACAGTATCATACATTTTGTGAATCACATAGCTCCCTCCAATGTGTTCATACACATAAATAATTCACAATAAACTGTAAACAGTTTTAAAGTGGATAGAATGACCCCACAAATGAATTCTAATGAATTCTTGAGAGCTTCCTCAAACGTCTAAAACCACAAACCGTTCCCCTTCTTTCTCTCCACCAATTTTCATCCACAGTGCACAGTTCATTCAGCAGCAAGATAGCTTAAAAGGATAGATAACAGTGCTCTATTATTTTAAAAATCAATCCTATATTTATGGTTTATAGTTTAGGCAGTAACTCCTGAAATAGTGGTATCAGCATACTGGTATTACTCATCATTACCAGATGTGGCTGAGGGCATGAGAAGAGGCAGAAAGCCACACGCTCATTCCCAGAGGCAATCTCCACTCACATTGGTAGTACCAGGTTAACACAAGCTGCAGTACTGCACTGCTAGAATAAGGGGGATACTATTAAAGATCCGAATTTGACTTCTATATAGGCATATTTGTGCCTTTGTTCACTGGTGTCAGTTGGACTTTGTACACAAATTTACCTCGATGTTTGCTTGACCTAGCAGACCAAGTTCTTTGAATCAGGTAATAGAAGCCGTATACACGCCTGTCAGTTGCATCTCTTAATGAGAAGCAGTCTTACGATTTGGTGTTGGTCCATATTATTCTGGATAGAAGATTATCTAGGCTCAAGGCAAAATGAGAAACAGTGAAATAGTTATATTGTTCTGTAAGAGAGCATTTTTTCAGGGTCACCTTCATCTGCAGAGTATTGTTTGGTGTTATGCAAAATAAAGGAATATTGAATTGCAGGAGCTAAATCTCGTTACTTGGTTGCTTGTTTTATCTGCTAAAGAAACAGAGGTGGTCAAGAATAGATATATTTTAATAAAGTTATGATAAAGTAATAAGCACTCCTCTCTTCAATTGAGCACAAAGAGTAGCAAGGCATTGGTGCGAAACCATCTACCCTCTGCACCTAAAAATGTCTGAATCTACTCAGACACCAACTGGCCAAAGCTATACAGAAACCTGAATCAAAATGTTTCTAAACCTTACTGACAAAAGTCTGATACCTTTAAAGAGCCTGGGAGGCCTGCCACTCATTTCAAAAGAGCCAAGATTTCACCCCAAGGGTCTGGTACATTGTGCCCAGTGACCATGAATGAGCTTATTCACGGAGCGATCAGAGCTTGTGGGCGCCTGCTCCTTCCCCTGCTGTAGTCCAGCACTTTCACACTGTGGCTTTATTCACTGCCTTGGTCTCAAATTCAGATGCTGTGTGGGTTCAACATTGTAAAAATAATCTTTTCTCCTATTGACAGCGTACCTTTATAGTACTTGAACATGGAGACTAAACCGCAGTCAACAGAAATACTTCTGAGCTCTCCTTCTTCCCATAACTTTTGAAATACACTCCCTTTCCTCTCCCTTCCTGCCACATAAAAACCTCCCTCTTCTTGTCATTCAGGGATAAACAAGATAGTCACATTCCTTGGCTGCCATTTATAAACCACTTTCTGCCAATAACTGTCTTACCCTTCAAGGTACCAAGGTCGGGGTGGAAAATAATCAGTAAGGCTACACATTTTAATAATTTCTCTTGAAATGGAAATAGTATACATCTTAAAAATACTTGACATGCTGACCTGAACAAGCACACGAGTTCTGCTTTTGTATGGATCAGCCCACATGCTTGTGGCCACTCACAGCAGAGTGAAAACTTTCCGAGGGCGTACTGGGACAGCATTTAATGCTGTTTAGTTTAATTTGTAATTACTTTTCCTCTTTGAGCAAACATGCTGTTCCATTTTCTACTGATGCCAGTTGGCCTTTGTGCAAGTAACCTTTATGCACAAAGTGTTGCAATCCTCAGATGGGGAGACCCTTCTTTAGATAGCAGCCTTGCTGACATGACTGCTTTCTAAATCTTCATTTAGGATACCAATTAAATCAATTAAATCCTTATGCTCCTAAAACATACACTAGATCAATGCTTATACACACAACCTTTACCTGTCCTATGACTTCTATGTCCTGTTTAGAGCCCATATGGGAGGAGGACCTGTTTGGAGCCCACATGGGAGCAGAATCGCCTCAAAAACATCCATTCCAGAACTTCACACATGGCTTGTGAACTTTAAGAGGGCTGTTGGAAGTGTTTTACTCTCACAGTGAGGTGATCTTAAATAGACATTGAGAGCTGAAGACAGAAAACAGGCGTTCTACTTCGGTAATGCACAGCAAAGCAAGGCCACCCTAAAGGAAGGATGGTGCTTTGTCATAGATAGTTGTGCTGTCGTAACTGTTTTAATCCTACACCTCTCCTCTACTAGAGGGTTTTGGGAGTCCAGAAGGGAAAGTCAAAAGCAGGAGAGCACTGGACTTCAACGGTAACTTAGGTCTGGTTGAAAGTCTTTCCTCCAAAAGAGCTCACATCCCATGCAGAACCCAAATCCAACCCGTTAGTGTTACAGCCACTGCAATGGAAGCAAGGTGGGAAGTGGAGGGAGACTGTGAAGAGAGAGAAGCTGATGTTCACAGCCCTGTTTTCATAAGCAGATTACTCTAACTCACTTAAAAATCTCATTTTATGTATACCTGTATGCATACATTTCTGAGGAAAGAATAGTTGGAAAGAATACAGCACAGCAAAATTGCAATCAGCAACAGTTTGTTAAATGCTTGGGCACATTTGGTTTGTGCATCATCCATTGCCCAGTCCTTTCCAAATTCAACACAGGTTGAAAAATAGTAAAATGCTTTTTCAAGCACTGTGAATACCTTTTCTTCTTTTACAATTTTAACATAATCTTGGTCTTTGTAAAAAATAAACTAAGTAATTTAAAACAGTTTCTAAGAGCAGAAGGAGCTACTGTGACTTGCACAGTAGCTTCTCACTGACTTATTTCTTCACTTACTCCATAAATTGTGACAAATTGAGAGTAAACTTTTTGAAAAACTAGCCATGATGCCCCTTGTTCTTTTCATAGATAAATATCTGAAGATTATTGCTGTGGAGAATTAACTCTAAATTTTGCTGCATCTTGGGGGAAAAAACAAACCAAACCAAACCAAAATGAACTCCACACTCCTTTTGCTCATGACATCCAGTTGCTCATGGGACAACGAAGCAGTGCCTCCAGATTGGCATCTAGGATTAGGCTTTGCTCATATACACTGAACTATCTGATTACTGCCAATGGGATTACTTGTGTGAATAAGGCAAGCAGGATTTGACCTTAATATTTCATTTCAGGACCAGGAAAATGGGACAGAAACTGTAAGAAAGCAAGCCCTTGCTTTGCCAAATATCTTTGATAACCATCAAAGCAAACATTTGCCTTTTGTTTTTCATATTTAATGATTTTGAAAAATCCTCCTCCTCTATAAATGATTCCTAGCAAATGTTATATACCTTCATGCTTATACAGCAAATGCAGAGTTAGAATAATATATGAACTGGCAAATTTACATGCATACATTGTATTTAATACTATCTGCAAACTGTCCATTGAGCAGATTAAGATGTGATTTAATTAAATCATAAGTTAAAATATTAAATTAAATTTCAAAAAGCATATAGGAATGTTTTCTTCTTTTCATTATCTCTTTCCTGTTAAAATGAGATTTAAGTGACCTTAAATGATTAGGGCATTCCAAGCAGTTTTCACAGCACACACTCTTTGAATTAGCATGCAGTTTTGGGGAGGTAAAAGCAATGGATAGCTCTTGCGAGCAAAGCATGGCAGATTCCCTCTCATGCTTTTAACAGACTTTTTTCATGATGTGATCTGCCTTATTTTAGCAATATTTTACCACAGCCTTCTTAAGTGCCTGCTGCATGTGTTTCTTTTCAGATGCCAGGGTTAGAGGATGGTTCCTTTTGGACTCTTACCTTCCCACATTTTTCCTTACTGGAGCATACCTTCTCTGCATATGGCTGGGCAACAAGTTCATGAAGGACAGGCCTCCTTTCTCTCTCAGGGCTCACCTCATTGTATATAACCTTGGGATTACACTGCTCTCCTTGTACATGCTCATAGAGGTAAGTGTTCTTCCATGCAATGCAGCTGAGAAAGGTGAGCAATACACAGTTTTTAGCAGAAATACCTTAGCAACAGATGGTTTTGCTAGGAAATTTAACATCAACAGCAAAGTAAATTTAAGATCGAGAAAAGTCCCTCAGCAGTGGAACAGTGAGTGGTATAGTACCTTCTCAGCTTACATCTTGGCGTGTTTTAACTGTCCCTCCTGAGCTACAGTCCACACCTGGGGACAGCTGGCTGCTACCAGGACAGAGTCTACAAGCATGAACTTGAATCTGCAGCAGTCACTCAGCTCAAACGTACCTATGCCTCATTCTTCAGCACCCATGAATATGCCCATGGGTTGGGTTTTATTTGTATGACTGTCTACGGAATGATTTTTCTACGTACAAATGCCCATGCTTAAATGTGAACAGATTTATAGATGAAAGTAAGTACTGATTTATTTATGGTATTGGCAATGCAACCTTATTTTTCTGCTCTCCTGACTAAGAAGCTTTCCTCATAGTCAGGCAGTAAGAGGCAGATGTTAAAAACCTGCCACTTCAGCCAAAAGCAAGTGCTGTGGGACTTGGAGGCTGAATATGGTTGCACAGATTATTGCCCAACTACTTATCAGGAAGGAACACGCTCACAGAAATCAGGATCCGTTCAGATCTAGAAGAGAGGCTTGAATGCATCTGACGATTTTGGAACAGCAGAGGACTCAAACAGTGCTCCTCAGCAAAGACGTGTGTTTTCACCTCCCCAGTGGGGAACAGAAGCCAAAAGTCACTATTTTGATATTATTTGGGAGCTCCCCATTCTCAGCCTTGTGATAATTGAGGTACTTTTAATATTAAAGTCTTAACATCCATCACTTTTGGCCCTAAAAAACAAACACTAAAAGACAAAAAAGACAAAACATCTTCTGACTTGGCTTAAAAAGTGACCCCGGGGCATGAGAAGCCCTGGCTGACGGATGTGCTTGATTTCATGGTGTGACTTGAGGAGGTGTGGGCTGACATTGCTGACTTGCCTGCACAGCCTCACAGAATTTCTTGCTCCCTGGGCTCCTGGCCACAACAGCAGTTTCCATGAGAAAAACAAGGACCGACTGTTCTGTCAGCTGGACGAGAAACTTTGCAGAAGCCAAACAGGACCCCAAAGATTTCAAGTTTTAAATTAATTTGAGCTAAACACCAGGTGACTGGCCTGGTCAAAAGGCTGAACAGCAGTTTAGGTGCGTGCCTTTGTGCAAAGGACCGATTTGTGCTGCACAGAGCTTCGTCCTGGTCAAAGCTCCAGCTGGCTTCAGTGGTTGCTGTGGGTGTCTGAGAGTGCAGGATCAGGTCCAGAGTGAAGGAGAAACCAGCACAATTGCTGGAAGGTTTGATGACTCCATACTGATTGTCCTCTAGAATTTAAATTAGCGCTTTGATGTTTAAATCCCCATTTTGCTTGAAGGTATACAGATAACTGTCTTCAGTAGCAGGACTCAAAAAGGATTAACTGAATAGAAAACAAAAATCCTGCTCCCTTCCCCTTGCTGGCTGACTTGGCCTGCCACAAGTAAATGAATTAACAAAGAAAATTAACAAAGAAAATTTTAGCAGGTCTCACATCAATGAAGCAAACTTGTTTTTTGCCACCCTCATATCCTTGTAGGAATTGTGTTGAGCCAGCTCCTGTTCAGCTGTCTCACTGCCCTGTCCTTCCTGAGGCTAACTTTGCTGCAGATGATCGCTGAGTTGTGTCAGTCCTCACATTAGTCCCTCTAGACCTTGATTCTGTAGCTGGAGGCTGCTGATTTATGCCTCCCAGACTGCAGCTGGGCATGCCTGGCAGCAGCTCGTAGCCCACATTCTGCATTTTTTGGGAACCCAGGAGACATCACAACTGATCTGCACTGTCAGATGTTTTACTGCAGATTTCACTCTTAGCTCTGGACTGTCAGCCAGGCTGGTTTTACACTGTACAAAACACTCTTCCATAATAGTAGCTCCGTATTTTTTTGTACTCTGCTTGCCTGGTTGCTATCACAGCTTCTCCTGTGAAGGAGCAGAATGAAAGTTAAGACTTGCAGACCTACCTGAGGTAGCTTCCACATCCCTGCTGAAGGAAAACAGGCAAATGGGAGAGCAGAAGTCATCTTTAGTACTGAGTAAAGTTATGGTGACTTGTCATGGTTTAGCCCCAGCCAGCAACTAAGCACCATGCAGCCGCTTGCTCACTCCCCCTGCCCCGGTGGGGCGGGGGAGAGAATCGGAGGAGTAAGAGTGAGAAACACTCCTGGGTTGAGATAAGAACAGCTTAATAATTGAAATAAAGTAAAATAGTAATGATAATGACAACAATATAATAATGATAATAATAATAAAAATATACAAAGCAAGTGATGCACAATGCAATTGCTCACCACCCACCGACCGATACCCAGACAGTTCCCGAGCAGTGATCGCTGCCCCCCGGCCAACCCACCCTGGTTTATATACTGAGCATGACGTCATATGGTATGGAATATCCCTTTGGCCACTTTGGATCAACTGTTCTGGCTGTGCCCCCTCACAGCTTCTTGTGCACCTGGCAGAGCATGGGAAGCTGAAAAGTCCTTGACTAGCATAAGCAGTACTTTGCAACAACTAAAACATCAGTGCGTTATCAGCATTCTTCTCATCCTAAATGCAAAACACAGCAGTATGCCTGCTACTAGGAAGAAAATTAATTCTATTCCAGCTGAAACCAGGACATGACTCAACATTTCAAAATGTCTCATTTCCAAAGCCTCTCCCTGGCCCTTATTCTCTCTTTTCTGGACAGTAAGCTCTTTAAGGCAAGAGTTACCTATATTTAGAGCTATCTGTACAGCAGTTTCTTATGTAAACACAGCTGATCCCTCCAGTGAGTATCATTCAGGATTAATTCCTGGTTACAGACATCCATAACAGTTGTCTTATTCCTCCATCCTCCCAATACACCTGAACCCCTCTGGTCTCTGTAACAGAGATAAATCACAAAATAATAAGCTCTATAATATAAATAAACCACCAAAAAAAAAAACCCCAAAAAACAAACCACTCCACCAAAACCCCCCAAACCAGTTATTGGCATTGTTCTTATCTCTTCTTGGTTTTGTTTATAAGGTGCCACACAACTTTTCCTGTGATAGCTCCATAAAGGAGTGAGTGCTTCTTAGACATTCAAAGGAAAAATATCTCATTCAAAAGAAAGGGTGTATCTCCAAATGCAGACTGTCCCACATGATGGGTATAATGAGAAACATGGTAAACCAGCTGATGGGGATACCTGTGCCACAATTCTTCATCTCCGCACCTTCATCTCCTGACCTAGTTTAGTTGTCCTTTGACGGCAGTTCATTTGTACAGCCTCAAGGCAAGACGACAAAGGTTATAGCAAGGAGTTATAACAAAAATGCTGTTTTTAAATCACCAAGAGCAGATTCCTCTTTTGAGCCAGAGCTCCATGCACTGCACCATGGGCATGAAGTATCTGAGAGACAATTTTAGCTCCATGAGCTTTGAGGTCAACCAATCCCTAAAGTACTTGGAGGAACAGGTCCAGGACAACTCTAAGATGTGCCATTAGCATGAGGTCAGATACCCCTACTATCTCTAAAGAACAAGGTCTACAGAAAAACAGCTCTGCCCAAGTACCCTCATCCTGCCAAGATATCTCAAAATTTTTGTGCCAAGGAAGGGTTAGGTGCTTTTGAAGGCCTCCCAGAAGGGCAGTATATTAGACCTTAATCTAGACTTCCGAGTTAGGCGAATGGATTTTCTTGAAGTCAAAGGCACTTACCTCTCCCCATTGAATATAATGGAGAAGTGGGGCGTTTGAATTTGGAGCATGGCTTTTTCAAGTACCTGAAGCTTAGACACAAATCCTGTGCTTAAATTAGGCAGGCTGCAGGTGCACTGCTGAGGGCCCAGAAGACAATTCCCTCCACTCTTGCTGCATCAGAGAAATCAGAGAAACCTGCATCAGAGGTTTGTTACTGGCTGTGTACTCTTCTATACCATGAAGTGTTCTTAGACCCAGATAAAGTCTACTGATCCAACAATTTCTAGTAACATTGCCAAAAATCTGCATAAAGGAAAACAACCACCACCCTTATATTTTAACAAAAATCAAAACTTTTAGGAATTTCACTGAAGAAAAATATGCCTTTCCTCTATGCAAATCTCTGCCTAAGATCCTAAAAGTACCAACGATAAGCAGAAAACCAGCTTACTGTGAAAAGCAATCAGGCCTTTGCATATTTTAAAATTATTTCATGTGCAAGTCAACTCACAAACCACACTCCAGGGATGCAGTCTGAGGTGCCAGAGGCCAAGATAAGGTTTTGAAGTTCACCGCAGGATAAAACTGTCACAACTCCAATGATAAATTAAAACTGGAAACAAAGGAGACCAATGCTGATCTCTGAATTGTGAAATTACTCAGGCGAGGATACTCTCTCTCATTAATAGGAAAAGACATTATCTCTACCATGGTCTTAGGCTGCTTTCCCCAGCAGTAAGTATCACCTCTGCCCTATTTAAATTAAATCTCAGCTAGTCATCAAGCTCTCACCTTTTGTTGATCAGGCACTGAGAAAACCAGGACACTAGCACCATCTGGGTCAGATTAAAAAGGAGATCCAGAGATATGTGTCATTAGCATAGGGGTGGCGTGATGTCTCAAGCTGCCTTTATCCCCAGGTAGCTTCACAGGCTTATTACAAACCCGTAGGATTTGTAAGCAAGCAACCACATCCATGTGGGGAAGCAGGGCGTGCATGTGAGGACTCTTCGATTCAGAGCAAAGGGGAAAGAGCAGAACTGCACAAGTATTGCAAGCCCAGTGCATGAACCTTTTTAGTGAAGCCAGAAGAAAAGTCTTACCTTACAG